CATCATCACCACCTCGGCAGAGGCAGATGAGCCCCACAAGGTGCAGTTCCCGGCTCCCACTGCCAGCAGCCCCCTGAGCCCGGGGCAGCCCCACTGGGCCAACTACGTCAAGGGCGTCATCCAGCACTACCGGGGTAAGGCCGGGCTGAGGGGTGGGTCAGAGCCCCCCTTGCAGGGAACTGCTGTTCACATCCAGCTTTGGAGTGCTCCAGGGGCTCTTGTGGTGTCTGTGTAATCCTGCAGCTCTTCCAGGACCAGGCTCCAGCAAACTCAATCTCAGTTCCAAAGGTTCCCGTGCTTGGGGGGCTGCAGGGTCACACTCTGCTGTGGGTCACCCTGTGTTCTGAATGTTGCACAGGGGCTCCTTGTGCCATTCCCTGTGAGCTGCGGGGCACACAGAGCCCTGCAGGGGCTCATGGCCCCCCTCCTCCCTTTGCTTCTCTTCCTGCAGGTGGTCCTGTGCCAGGCTTCAGCGCTGTCATGGCCAGTGACGTCCCCCTGGGCGGGGGCCTCTCCAGCTCAGCTTCTCTGGAGGTGGCCACCTACACCTTCCTGCAGCAGCTCTGCCCTGGTAAGGCAGCAGCCTGTTCTGGGCCCTGGCATCTGCTTCTAGGTGGGAGCTAGGATGAGTGGGATGCCCTTAGCTAGGTCCCACAGCCCTTGGGAAAATGCTGCTGTGAGTGGGTAACAACTCCCCTGCCTATGTGGCTCCTCTGGCTCATCCAGCCTGACCTGCCCAGACCTCTAAAATCCATGGACCACTCCTGGGGCTGGCCAGGGAGATAAGATGAAGTTCCCTTGGGAGCATCCTCTCCCCTCCCTAATGGCCCCAAAAATCAAGATACCTGAAATACCAGTGTCAATTATCACATCCAGCTGGATCTGGGGTCCAGGCTGGCATAGAGGCCATGCAGGGGTGCAGGAACAAGCACCTGCAGCTGCAAAACCCCATTCCACAGGAAAACAACCCTTTACCTCCATGTTTGCTTCCCCTGCTCCCAGGCAAGGGACAAAATTGCAGGAGCTGCTAATCTGTGTGTCTCTGCTGTGGCACAGACGATGGGGATTTGGCAGCCAAGGCACTGGCGTGCCAGAAGGCGGAGCACACGTTTGCTGGGATGCCCTGTGGGATCATGGACCAGTTCATCTCCGTGATGGGCCGGAAGGGCCACGCCCTGCTCATCGACTGCCGGTCAGTGTCAGGGCTGGGCTCGCTGTGCTGTGCTCAGCTCCTTGAGCAGCTGGGGCTGAGCTGGCCCTGTGGCCATGAACTGAGGGCAGGAGTGCGGGGAGAGGTTAATCCTTGAACCCAGCCCAAAACCTCGTCATGGGGGCGGGGCAGCCTGCGCTTTTATTCCTCCTGGTCTTGATTCCTCCTCCTGCAACCTTTCTGCTGCTTGCCTGGGTTGTCTTTCCCGCGGTCTTTAGGGTCTATTATGGCACTAATATTTGGGAGGGAGTGAAGTGCTGGAGTGAAATCCCAAACCACCTGGACTTTGCCTCTGTAGCTCAGGATCTGCCTGCCACGTAGCCTCACTCGGGTGCCTGAGAGCCGGGCGGGCAGGGGGCGGGCAGATGGCTGAGCTGTCCCTGCAGGTCCCTGCACACCGTGCTTGTCCCGCTGAGCGATCCCAGCCTGGCCGTGCTCATCACCAACTCCAACGTGCGGCACACGCTGACGGGCAGCGAGTACCCCACGCGCCGGCGGCAGTGCGAGGAGGCAGCAGCGGCCCTGGGCAAGGCCAGCCTCAGGGATGCCACCATGGCCGAGCTGGAAGGTGGGGACAGCCCTCCCCTCACCTCTGGTCACTCCTTGGGGCATCAAGAGCTTGGTGCCCCCTGGGCTGAGACCTGGGGCAGGCGGGTGGGCGCGCACCCTGTGATGGGATGTGCTGCGGGCAGGGAAGCTTTGGCACAGGATGGTTGCAGGATGCAGCCCTGCAGCATCCTGCAGGCTGTGAGGCTTTGCTGCAGGAACACCAATGTCCCTGCAGAGGCCAGGAGCCGCCTGGGGGATGAGGTGTTCCGGCGGGCCAGGCACGTCATCGGCGAGATAGCACGGACAGAAGAGGCAGCGCAGGCGCTGCAGAACAAGGACTACAGGACCTTCGGGAAGCTGATGGTGGAGAGCCACAACTCCCTCAGGTGAGGGTGACCGAGGATGCTGACAGCTGGGCCAGGCTCTGCAGCACCCAGCACTGCTGCCATGGCAGTGGCTGCACAGGACACAAGCTGGAGCTGTCAGGGGTGCAGCAGTTGTGCCCAGGGTGCAGGACAGGGCAGAGCATGGCTCTCCTCTCTCCAGGGATGACTATGAAGTGAGCTGCCCCGAGCTGGACCAGCTGGTGGCAGCAGCCCTGGAAGTCGATGGGGTTTATGGCAGCAGGATGACCGGGGGAGGCTTTGGAGGCTGCACGGTGACACTGCTGGAGGCTGGGGCTGCAGACAGAGCCAAGAAGCACATCCAGGTATGTGGCAGAAAAGCCCCAGGAGACTGAAAGATCCCAAGAAAACACTCAGGGGCACAGCACAGGGACACTGTTGAACTGTCACTCCTGAGCCATTTGTGGTTGGTGGAGCCTGTCCATGGCCCTGAGCCTGTTGATGCACTGAGCTCCTGCAGGCAGTTCAGTACTCTGTGCCAGTCACAGAGCCTGCCCCAGGACCTCTTTGCATTGAGAAAGGGAGTGAAAAGGTGCTGGGGGAGCTTCAGGAAGGCCAAATCCATCCACAGAAAAGGGATCTGAGCTGAGCTTGGGTACTCCTGAGCTGAACACTGGCAGTTATAGCCTGGGAAAGATCTCAGTGCCATCACCAGTGTTCCCTAACTCAGCACCTTGGCATTCTCAGGTAGCTGGAAATTCCAGCAGAATGGGGATGTCAGGACATGGGGCCTGTGAACAAGGCAGAACATCATTTTACTGCTCTATGAGATCGTGGTGCACCCTGAAAATAGCTGGAGGAGGGGGAAAGAAGGGGCAGAGGTGGGAGAGAGGAAACACGACCAGGAGTTACAGTTCAGTGAAGAGTGGGGGCAGAGTGTGGAACTGACCAGCAGGGCCTCTCCCCCCAGCTCTGGCCGCCCCCAGCCTCAACTGCTCCTCTTATTTTTCAGGAGAAATACAGTGGCAAAGCCACCTTCTACCTCACCAAGCCCTCAGCAGGGGCAAAGGCTCTGTCCATGTAGAGGAGTGACCACCTCCCCTGGGAACCTTGGGCTGGCATTGCCTCCCCCCCCAAGGGGATCAGTCTGTCCATCTGCATCATTTAGCTAATAAAAGCAAAGCATTTGCATAGGTGTTTTGTGCCTGTGTGTGCCAAAAGCACTTGGGACTGTTCCTCAGAGGATACTGGTTTAATTCCAGTTTGCACTGGTGTAAGGAGCAGAGCTGCAGTCACAGGAGGGGATGACAGGGCAGGAGCAGCAGGCACTGACACCTGGCAGAAGTTCCTGCCTCTGGCCCCTGCCCTGCATCTGCTGCAGATGGAGGATAGCAGGGGGAAGAGGGATTTTTTTATTTTATTAAAAAAAAAAATCAGCAATAAAGAGGCAGAATATAGAGAAAATATTTATTGAGTGCAAGAGGAAGCCATCTGATCAAAGACCTGCTCTGGATCTATCTTGGAAAGGCGGAAACAGCACCAATTCCAACAAAACCAGATAAATTAAAAAAGACAGGCCTAGGTTAGTGCATGTGCATGGGGAAGGCCTGATTCCCTGGAGAGCAGATGATGGGCCAGGCTCTGCTCTTGGAGAACAGGATCATCTTTGGTTAAAATGCTTGAGAAACTCCCTGTTTAGGCATGAATCCCAAAGGGTCACGGAGTCCTTGAGCAGGAGGAGACAAAATCCCAACCCCAGGCAAGAAGGGAGCAGGGAGGGAGGCAGCCTCATGCCCCTGGCACTTGCTCAGGAGAAATAAGTGCTTCTTGAAGGCACAGTAAAACCTCAGGGTTGGTGAAGGATCCCTGGAGCCAAGTTCAAAACTGACCCAGCTCCATCTGCAGTCATGGAGATTCCTGTGGACTTGGTTCACCCACATCCATCTTTGGCTGAAAGGTGTACAGCCCTTCCCCCCGTGAAATAAAAAGCCTGAAGAGGAGAAGGAGCTGGGGTGGTGAGCTCTTCTTCAGAGTCCAAAAGAAAAAAGGAAATAAAAAAAGAAATAAAGAAAACCACAAAAAAAGCCAAGGTTCATTGTGAGATCAAAGCAGGCTGGTGATGCTGCCAGGGGCCCAGGCAGCTGCTGCTTTGGTTGGAAGCTCTAACCCAGAGCAGTGTCAGCTGCTGCTCCAGGCAGGCTCCTGACCTGCTCCCATGCAGCTGGGACACGCCAGGGAAAGCTTGCACTGCTTGTTGTCCCTGGCAGAGGCCAGGGAGCTTCCAGGGATCCTGCCCTGCACTGGGACATCAAACCCAGCAGGGTCTCAGCTCAGCCCAGCCCTGTGTGAGGGGAGCTGAAGATGAAGAAGTCTCAGACTTGTTCAGGACAGTGGAGTGCCTGTTCTTCCAGGCCTGCTCTTCTTTTGTGCTTACTGATGGAGCACAGGTTCCTTTATGGATCGTGTTGCCAGGCAAAAACTCTTTTAAAAGGTACCAAACATCTTCTGCCTTGAAATCTCACCCTGTCCACATCAGCTGTGTGAGGAATCCCAGCACAGTTCCCATCCCACACCTCCAGGAAGCTCCCAGCCCTTCTGTGTCCAAATGCTCCAGCTGGGAGATGCTCTGCAGTGGGTGGATCTGCGCCCTTGCAGCCTTCTACTGGAGCCTCTGGGGCTGAAGGATACAAGGTCCAAGGCGAGCCCACCAGCATCATCAAAGGGTTCAAGAGGCCTTTGGATCAAGCCCTTAACTCATTGCTTCCAGTTATTCCTGTTTCCCAGCAGCCACAGCCCCTGTGTAGCCTCCACATTGAGCATAGATCTCATCCACCTCCATTTTTTATAAAATAATAAAATACATTTATATATATTTTTATATATACTATGTAAACTGTACAATGTTGTATGCAAAAAAAAAAAAGCATCTGAGGCCATCAAGTAACGCAACACAAGTGAAAGGTTAGGCTTTGCTATTGTGGTACCAAATGTCAGCAGCAAAGGACAGACACAAACAGGTGCAATAAGAAAGCACAGGTTACCCCAAAGCCCTACCTTGCAGCTCTCATAAAAACCCCCATACTGAACAAAACAACTCTAGTGAACAGGTGAGTCACCAGAGAGCTTGGAGCAAAAATGGAAATGGTGACCCTCTACAAATCATGGTTTTGACATCTGAGATCCTCTCAAAACTGTGGAACTGACAATAAAATCATTTCATTCCATTTACCTGGGGAGGCTGAAGCCATGGAGACACCCCAATTTCTGCCCTGGAGGATGAGCTTACCCACCCAGCTGTGCCAGAGCTCTGAGTGTGCTGGGCTCCAAAGGAGAAGTGCAGAGCCTGGAGTGCCTGAGAGGGTCTGTGCCTGCAGGAGGAGCTGCCCAGGCACCACCTGGGTGAAGCACCTTTGGGTTGTTCCATAAAATGCTGGCACTGATCCCAGAAGTCCTGCTGGTGCTCGGCCTCCCTGGCTCAGGCCTCGTAGAACTGCCTCTCCAGCTGCTGGCTCAGGGTCCCGCTGGCCATCACCGTGTGGCTCACAAACTCCTGGGTCAGGGTGCTGCTGGAGCTCTCCACGTGCTGGGTGGTCACCAGCATCCCGTCTGCAAGGGAAGGCACCACGGGTGGGGTCACAGGGAACAGGGTCTGCTCTGCCCCACAGCTCCAGGCAGGAGTTTTCCATCATAGGAAGTGGCATTTAGGGACCTCTCCACACCAAGTTGTCACAGACATATTTTATGAAAAATCCTTTCATTAAGACCTTTTCTCCTGAGAAGCTGAGAGGCCTCAGAAATGAAATGTAAACAATGATTATCTGCTGCTGTGGAATGCAACAGGTGCATCTTTGATCAGTCTCATGTGGTTGTTTTTAATTAATGGCCAATTACAGTCAGCTGTCTCAGACTCTCTGATCAGTCACAAGATTTTATTATCATTCCTTTCTATTCCTTGCTAGCCTTCTGAAGAAATCCTTTCTTCTATTCTTTTAGTATTGTTTTAATATATCATTTTCTTTTAATATAATAAATCAGCTTACTGAAACATGGAGTCAAGATTCTCATCTCTTCCCTCGTCCTGGGACCCCTGTGAACACCTCCACACCAAGTGACCCAGTGCTCTGCTATATCAGGATCTCCTGACAGCTCCTAAGCTCTCTGTGTTGCAGCATGAATCCACGAGCTCAAGTGGGATAACATGGGACAACTACCTTGATGGGAATAAAGATGTTTGTCCCACTGCTCTGTTTCTGTCTGCTCTGAAGAGATTGAATCTTGCAGGAAGAGCTATGATTTGGTCCCTAATGATAGTCCTGGAGGACTCTCAAATACAGCATTCCCTCCAGGACTGAGCAGCACGTGTGGAAATGGCTGCAGCTCTCCCTGGGGCAAAGCAGGGACACAGTGGAGGAAAAGGGCTGACCCTCTTCAATCCCACCTGATAAAAGCTGCCTCAGACCTTTGGACAAGCAGAAATACCCTTTGTTTCCTGTGGGTTGCAAAGCAACAATGAGCCCCTACCTGTGAAGTGGGGATCCAGAGAGGAATGGCTGATGCTGGTTTTGGTGGTGTATTCAGTGGGGAATTTGTAAACTTCTCTCATGTACTGCTGTCCTCCAAACTGGGAGAAAGCACCTGGGGAGAAGGAAAAGGGACAAGTTAGTCAAGAAATAGCAAAGAGCTTCCGACTCCTCAACACTGCGGAGTGAGCACCAGCAAGCTCAGGAATCTTCCCTCACCAGGCACAGCACTGGCCTTATGGAAAACTGTCTCCATGTCTTTCATGGAGCATGGAGTCACCGCCAGAGCTGGAAAGTGACTGCAGGAGTTGTGCTCCCTGCTCTGAGAGGTTTCTCTTTGCACCTCCACAGACACAAGGGTACTGTACCTCTGTCCTGAGATTCAATGGTGATGAGGCCTTCTCTCTCTGGCCCAAAGCCTTGGGTGGTGTTGGCTTGCACTTTGAACTTGTATGGGACATTCTCACTCAGGTGGGGCACAGTCAGGGTGGTTTCCAGGTTGTCTCCTTCGACATAGATTGTCCTGGGCTCCCCTAATCCAGAGACACAGAGTGGTGAAGACAGACCAGAGTGATGGTCCCTCCAAACACACAACCCCTCAACTCCGCTGCCTCAGCTGTCCCTGAGCTTTACAACCCACAGGCTGCAGGACTGCACCCACTTCTACTGAGGGTTAAAACAACCCCATTTCACTGCAGTGGGGAACCTTAACAGCCTCCATGGGATTTTGGCCGAGGTCCTTCCTCTTCCCACCACATTTGTTAGCCCAGACCACACAATGGCACAAAGTGTCAGGAGCCACCAGCTCCCAGGCCTGGCATCAGCCTTGTGCCCCCACTTTGTCTGCACACAACTCTTCTACTGGTCCCAGCCAAAATGCAGCAGATTGCTGCCTTAGCTGGAGGTGTCTGGTGCTCAGCACAAGGGAGCTGTGCTGACACTGTACCTCCTCCATGCAGCATCTCACAGGTGATCCTGTAGCCCAGGATGGGCCCATTGGGCTCGCGGGGCCTCTCCCAGCTGAGGTGCAGAGAATCCGGGCTGAGGGCAGTGAAAACCAGGGGTCCAGGGGCACAGGGGGTGCTCAGGGTGAAGGGGGTACCTGCCAAGGCACAGGGGACACGTCAGAATCACAGCAAAGGGAGCCTGGGAGGAATCTGAACAGAGCATTTATGGAATGAGCTGGAAGGGCTCAGCTTTCTGGACAAAGAGTGTGAAGTGAGTGTGTGGGGAAGAAGGTCCTGGTCCCAAACTGAGAGGAAGGAAAAGAGAGGTGAGGATGTGCCAGGACCCAGGACATCCCTCTGGCTGTCCTGAGCAGCCAAGACCCCTGCCAGGGGTCTCAGAGTCCCTGGCACAGAGCCCAAAAATGCCTGTGGTTTTGATTATGACCCGTGGAGCAAATTACCAACCTTAGATGAAGATCTGCAAGCCATGACAAATTAAGTAGAATGATAGTGAATTTATCACAAGGTGAAAAAGTAGATTTGGGGTTTTTAGAATGGGGATTCAGGGGGGCAAGATGGAGGGGTCTGGACGTGTCCAGCCTTTCTCCTCCTCCTTCTTGGCCTCCGTCTTCTGCTGTGATGTTGGCACTTACAGATTGGTCTAGAGTAGAAGCTCACTGTCTAACATAGGTGATAGGTTTTGGGAAATAATTGTAAACATTGTACACATAGTTTTTAGTATAAGGACAGAACACTGCCCCAGGGGCAGGCAGAGTGCCTGGAACTGTCCTGCTGGATGGACCTCAGCAGGGCAGGAGAAAGAATTTTATAGATAAGGTACAATAAACAACCTTGAGACTGAGAAATGAAGAGCCTGACACCTTCTTCAAGTGCCAGACTGGGAAAAGAGACTTTTGAACTCTTCTTGGGGTCACTCTGACCAGCGAGAGATCCTGACAAGGATGTGTCAAAGAGGAAACAGCCAGGCCAGCACTGCAGACAGCAGCACAGCCATCAAAGCCACCCTCCTGTCCCCAGCAGCTCACCTGGCACGGGGCTGAGCGGGCTCTGCGGGTCCACCTGGGACTCGATGGTGATGACTCCCTCCCTCTCGGGGCCCCAGCCCTCCTCGCTCTGCGCCTTCACCTTGAAGATGTAGGAGTGGTTGGGCAGCAGGTCCTCCACCACCACCGAGTTCTGGCTGGGGTTGGGGATGGTGATCCTGTGCACCTCTCCTGGGACACACAGGGAAGAGATGTCAACAGCACGTTGCAGGCACAAAGACAGAGCTGCCACTTTCACCTAAACTCTGTCTCAAACAAACTGCCTGCAAAGCCATCCAGGGTCCTTCCCCAACCACCTGCATCACACCTTGCCACCAGCAATGGGTAGTGCAGGATGAGATGTCTCTCCAAAAAAGGATTGGGACAAAAATCATCTTCTTGAAAACTCAAAGAGTTTCAGACAAAAGAATTATATTTTCAGTAATACTGCCCTGAGATTCATGTAAAAATAATATATTTTCACTTCAATCCTTCTTCCCAGTCCCATTGTTGAAAAAAAATTCATGTAAGTTGTTTGGGCTTATGGAGAGAATCAGTCAAAAGGGTTTTTTTTTTGGAGGAGAGATGATTCTACAAGCAACTCCAGGACTTGCTCTCCCTCTAGGAGAAACAGGGAATGAAAGCTATGAGGTAGCTGCAACATTTCCTTACCAAAAAAAAAAAAAAAAAAAAAGCTAGACAAGAAGCAAATTTAGGATCCTGAATCCCAGAATGGTTGAGGCTGGAAGGCACCTCTGGAGATCATCTGGTGCAATCCCCCTGGCTCAGAGCAGGGTCATCCAGAGCCAGAAGCCCCAGAGCAGCCTCTCCAGCCCTCAGCACTCACACCCAGCCCCAGTGGCTCCCACTGACCTCCGCTGAGGAGCTGGTACTGCACGCTGTAGCCCTGCACCTCCTTGTCGCAGCGCGGCTCCTGCCAGCTCACCTTCAGCGACGTGGGGCCCAGGGCAGAGAACACCAGGCGGGTGGGGGTGTCAGGGATGCCCAGGGGCTTCCTGGAGTCTGAGGCAGAAAGGGAACATCAGGCTGGAGGTTTTGGGGATTGTGGCTAAGGGGGCTGGGGGAGAGGAGGGGGTGGCACAGGCAAACATGGGATGGTCCTGATGGCTCAGGGAGGACGTGGTGAGATGTCATCTCTGCAAGCTGACCTGTCATGAGGGGGACTGGCTGGCTCTGCACAGCCACAGGGATATCCCACAGCCTCAGGGTGCCAAGCTTGGGTGGGACAAGTTAATGTAAGCAATGTGCCCCTGTGGCAGAGAGCCCAGAGAAGGGGCCTGGTGCTGGCTGTGACCTTCCTCATCCCTAAGCACCCTGTCCAGTCTGCCAGAAGCTTCACAGACTTCATCAGGTGAAGGTCAATTAAGACTGGCCCTAATCTACAGCTAAATCAGGCTTCATGATTCAGGCCTCATGTTCATGAGGCTTGGGACCACATCTGAGTTCTTCTCAGCTCATCCCACTGGGAAACAAGGCTCACAGAGAGAGCAGCAGCCTCCCAGGAGACACTCAGGGACTGAAGCCCCTTGCTGACAGGGAGCTTGCAGAGGGACATCTCATAAGGAGCACAGGTTCTCCCAAGAGCTCTCCAAAGGCCTGTGGAGTAAGACTGAGAACAAGAAGCTCGTTAGGAATTAAGAGAATGGGGACAATGGGGTGATCAGAGCACGGTGGCAGCAGTGGTGGTGAATGTTAATCAGTCCAGGTGGGCTGAAACCTGCAATTCACCTGCAAATGGAAAGGTGATGTGATGGAGGTGCAGGCTGGGTCAGAAGGAAGATCAGCACAGCACACAGCAAGCCATGGAGAGGAGGTTTGGAGTGAGCAGTGGATGGCAGCAGCTCATGGGTGGATGGTGGCTGGGCTGTTATGGGATGTGTGGCTGGGAGGAAACACTGCACAGGCTGTACCTATGAACTTGCACATCCCTGTGGACCCATCAGTCATGATTATAGAGTCCCGACAGCCAATGCTGGGGTAGTAACCCTTCACCTTTGCCCTGCTCCTGAAACCCACGTCCCGGGGCCGGAGTGTCCTCCCAGCATCTTCATGGATGGGAGGGAGGAGTGTCCCTGGGTAATCTACAGAAATGGTGCAAGAAGAAAGAGAAAAACACCATTGGAGATTTCAGAGCAGGTTCAGCCCAGGCTCCTGCACAGGTGACTTTTTAAGGCTCAGGTTTGAAGAATCTTTAAGCCACCTTCTGTCAGCACCAGCTGATTGACACACGTGGAGCTGAAAGGCAGCCACACTGCTGGATAGAGTGAGGAGAGGAGACCTGCTCTCCCTGAAGTGTCCTTTTCATTGTGAAAGGATAAGGATGGAGCTCCCTTCCCTGAGCACCCTGCCTGTGAGGGGTGGGACCCCTTTCCAAACTGGTCTGGAAGCAGAGAGGCCTTAGCAAAGCACCAAGACACCAGTGGTGGGGACATGACCTCCTAGACCTGCAGGTCACAGGCCACCTTAGCTGTGAGCACAGTCCTCACCCCATGAGGACTTTAGGGTGCAGGTCCAAAGACAGTCATGGGGATGGAAGGGAAGGGCAGGTCCCATCCCTGTGGTACTCACCATGCCCCATCTGCATTGTGGAGTAGTCTCTTGTCAGCGAGGAGCTGCCCATCACCCTGTGCTCCTGGTGCATGTGGGAGCTCAGCTGGTGGTAGCTGGTGTTGGCTGTCCTGGTCAGGGTGCCACTGCCACTGCCAGGGAAGGAGAAGTCCACCCGGCCATTCATCAAGTGCTCTGTGGAAGAGGGCACACAGTGAGGAACGTGGCTGTGGACAAAGCTGCTGCTCCACTTTCCATGGGGAGGAAGCAGGAGGTGTCATGGTGCACCCCCCACCTTGGCTGAATCACAGGTTCAGCCACTCTGGAAGGTGATTCTGGAATGCTACATTTAGAACAAGCCACAATACCCAACATGAGACACAGAAAGAAAGAGATAAACAAAGACTTCTCCCTGCACCAGACACACCCATGGTGCCCAAGGTAACTCCAGACCTCGGCCCTGCTGGGGCACTGCCTTGTGGTTCTCGCCACATTCTCTCACATCTCCCCTTAGACACAAGCGCTGGTTTATAATTTCAGATTTTAAAAGAAGGTGAAAGAAGGAAAGTGGCTCTTTATGGAGGAGGTTCCTCCAGATCTTATTCTGGATCCCATCTCAGCTGGATCTGAAAAGCAAACTCCGTTCTGTTGTTCTGGTCCTTGACAAACAAATCCCCATCCCCTCCCAGCAGGCTAGGAGAGATCAGCCACCTACGAGAGAGTGATTTCTGTTTAACAGTCCAGCACACCTGCCCCAGAAGCTCAGGGCGCTTAATTACTGTGAAGAGCTGCCCTTGGAGGTGGCACTTAGCAGGTATCATCTGAGTTTGCTCCTGCCTCGAAGGTCCAGCCTTTGGTAGAAGCAACTTGCTAGCAGGCTCCCAAGTCCGTGCCGAGATGGGGGTTACCTTGACACCCGTGTGAGCAGACACACCAGGACAAGGTTCTGAAGCAGATCACACCAACACGAGGGTGGGCACACAGGGGGAGGCAGGGGGCACAGAGCCCCTCCTCAGGCCCCTCGGCTCAAAGCAGGACGAGACAGGACACTCAGTGCTGTAACGGAGCCGTCCTTCACCTGCTTGGGGCCGGGGCGTCGCGCTCCTCCTCGCAGTGCCAGGAGCCACGGCGCTGTCCTCCTCCTGGAGGAGCCCCTCGGTGTCCGAGGAGAGGCGGCTGCTGCCAGAGAGGCGGGGAATGGTTTCGGGTGGGAGCCTCCAGGTGATGCGGCGAAGGTCCAGGTCTTCCCCCAGCAATGGCACAAATTTCCACCTGGAGCCTTTTGGGACAACGCAAGCACCAGTGTTGGCACAGGCTGCAGGGGTCAGGGTGGGCCACCCACCACCTCTGTGCTGCTTGCTGGGAGAGGAAGGGACAAGCAGCAGTGGGGACGATGCCTGTTCACAGCCCATGTTCCAGGTGTGAGCTGAGGAGCTCAGGTGGTGCAGCCATCTGGCAGGTGGAGAGTGCTGGGAGCGTGACATGCAGGGGGCTCCTCAACCCCCAGGCTGTTTTCCAGCCCCATGTCCCTCATGAGAAAAGGTGAGAGGCAAAGTCCCACCACATTCCTGTCCCTGCATGAAGAGTCTGCAACAATTGTCCTCTGCTCAGGAGAGGTTTCATCACTCCTTGATGTGCACTCAGGGTGGTCGGACTCCTGATGTTCCCATCACTCTTGGGTCTCAAAAGACCAGGGACTCACTCTTGGGTCCCAGGCCCTGGAGAACCCTCCAGAGAAGATCCTACAGACACACCTCATCATTTCACTTATGGCTCATATCCCAGCACAAGACCAGGAAGTCAGCCTCATTCAGCAAGTGAAGGGATGGAGTAAGAGAGGCCAGTGTCCTCCCAGCACTGCTGCATTCCCCCCTGTTGGCTTGGCCTAGACCCTGAGCATCCAGGGGACTCAGAGGTTTGTGCCTTTGCTGGTGCTTGTTTGCTGATGTCTCATGGTCCAGCCAAATGGCAACACAAAGGGAAGATGAGCAGGGAGGGCCATGAAAAGCTCCTCTCCCACCCCACACCGATTTCTCTTTGCCCCATGGCTACAATAAGGAGGCACTGGCCTTATTTACACTGTGACCAGCCAAGTGTTCCCATGGATGCAGCTACTGAGCTTTGCAAAGGCTGATTTCCACCATCTCCACAACTTGGATCTCCTGAGAGATGGAAAGGAGCAGTGAAGCTCATTGCTGAAAGCTGCTGTTAAGGAAAATGAATGTTAGAAATGACCTTTTCAAGCTCAGAGACGCGAACCTGAATCATCAGAGACACTGGGCCTCTTGCTGCCAGCTGGAGAGCGGAGCACGTCCGTGCTGTACATCAGGTAGCTGTCATAGTCCTCACCTCCCTCTGCATCAATGATGGGGACATCAGGGATGATGGGGACTGCAGGAGAGGTGGAAAGTGCCATTAGACAAGCAGCAAAAAACCAGACAAGCAGCATAAAAATGTACAATGTTCAGGCTGGCCCTCAGCATTCCCAGGATGGCTGGAGCAGCAGAGCAAACAGGAGGTGGGGAAGCAGTTGGGTGTCACAGACATCTTTTATGAAAAATCCTTTCCTTAGGATTTTTCCTCTTGAGAAGCTGAGAGGCCTCAGGAACAAAATGTAAACATTGATTATCTGCTGCTGAGAAATGCAACAGGTGGATCTTTAATTAGTCCATGTTAGTTGTTTCTAATTAATGGCCAAACACATCCCAGCTGGCTCGGACAGAGACTCCAAGACACAAGCCTTTGTTATCATTCTTTTCTATTCTATTCTTAGCTAGCCTTCTGATAAAATCCTTTCTTCTATTGTTTTAGTATAGTTTTAATGTAATATATATCATAAAATAATAAATCAAGCCTTCTGAAACATGGAGTCAAATCCTGGTCTGTTCCCTCAGTGTGAGACCCCTGTGAACACCGTCACAGCTGGGATGGTGGGGAGCTCTCCCCAGCACTGCTCCTGCCCCTGTGGCCCCTGCCCAGGCTGGCACTCACTGGACATGGGGCGCTTGGGCTGCGTGGCGAGGTTGATGGTGGCTTCTCTCTGGGGCCCCCAGCCCGCGCCGTTCCTGGCCTTCACCATGTAGCGGTAGGGCTGCGACTCGCGCAGGTTCTCGATCAGCACCACGCGCTTCTTGGGCTCTTCAACCAGCACCTTCTTCAGGGGCCCAATGGGCACTGCAAGGCACGAGCATGCCTGTCACCCACCAGGCACAGAGGACCCCACAACGACCCACATTTTGGCGTCAGGATACAGCCTGGCACTGGGAAAAAGTGCAGCAGCTCTTTGGGCTGCTCACAACAAGCAGCATGAGCTCAGGGTAATTCCCAAATCCAATGCGGAAGTCAACTACAGGAGAACACTTCTGTTGCTGGTGTGTCACAAATAACTCCTTCCCAGCACCCCACCCCTTCATCTAGACCTTTGAACTAAGTTTATGGAATGGGACAAAAAACAACATAAAACACTATGTAAGTGAACAGAACAGAGATTTTTGGCATTTGCATAATTAAATCCTGACTGGTGGTTTTTCTGTGCTCTTTCCATCAAGAAGTGACCCATCCAAATCCCAGTTCTCAAAAGAATCACGCTGGAGCTGTTCTGGCTCTGCTCCTGCTGTTTGGGACCAGCCCAGCCTGCATGAAGTGTCCTCCAGCCCCTCAGCCTAGCTGGACTGTCCCATCCAAAAACCAGCTCTTACCATTATCCTCATTGACAAGGCCATAGCTGACTTCATAGGCGGTGATCACCCCGTTGGTCTCTGCAGGCTCACCCCAGCTCAGCTGGGTCACGGTGGAAGACACGACATTGAAAGCCAAGCGCCCAGGCTCGCTGGGCACTGGGGAGGCAAAAGCAAAAGGTGCCCATCACTGTGAGTCAGGAACTCAGAGTTCCCCAGATCACAGCTGGGCTGCAGTGGGAGACACTCAGTGCTTGGAGTCACTCTGATAAGCTAGAGATCCCAACAGGTGCAGAGGAACAAACCTGCTCCCACATGCAGGGCAGGAAGGTGTGGGGTCACTCACCCTCCTCCAGCGTGCGGCAGCGGATGATGTCTGAGTAAGTCCCTTCTCCCACGGCGTTGTAGGCACAGACTTGCATCTCATAGTCAGAGAAGGGGTAAAGGTTGGTCAGCTCTGCTGATGGGGTTTTGACATCAATGAGATGGGCTTCTGACTCAGGGTCTCCCTGCATCCAGTATTTCACCTGGCAAAGCAAGTGCAAGCCATGATTCCTTCAGAACCTCACATGATGGGTGAGAAATTCCTTGTCTCTTACTAAATCAGCTCTGGGAATCGTGGTGTGCCATTCCTCTGAAATGGGAGGCCAGGACAGTCTGGGCACTTCATGATAAGTGATGGAACTGGAGATGAACCCACCAGGAATCTTTCTTGCATATCCCTCATCCACCAGCAATGGTCCCTCAAGGATGGAGGGGACCAGGAGGGGTGAACTTGCTCCCTCTTTTGGGTGTGCACTTGGACCCCTTTGGTACAAATGTCTGTGTGAAACACCTGCAGGAGGGGACCCACACTCTTCCCTGGGATCCACTCACCCCTTACCTTGTACCCCAGGGGTTTTCCTGGTGGAGGAAACCAGTTGAAGCTGATTTCCCTGGAGCTGAGGGCACGGGCATCAGGATTAAGTGGTGCACTCAGGCGGCCTTTGGGGGACTGGGGGACCTGGGCCAAGCCAGTCATCGAGGGGACACCATCCACCAGCTCTGCAGACAAGGAAGTTTACATCAGTGCCAGTCCTCCCCCTTGGATGAAAAAGAAGGAAGCGTGCCTCTCTCAGCACTGCCCTGCCATGCTGTGATAAATACATTATTTATGTTATTGACCCCCTTGATGACAGTTTTGCTTGTCAGCCACAGGAACCACCATGCACCATTCATGGAAAATCCTACATCTCCATTATCTTTATGGCTTTTCATTCAATATCCCAAGGAAAAGGAATTAAGAATCCATTCTATTTCCTTTACCGAGGGAGATGATCCATCTTCTCCCCACCCACTGACTATTCCCACTCGTGCCTCTAGAGGGGGACCCAAATCTACCAGCTGGAGCTGGAGGGGCCCTGCTGCGGCTTTTTGGGCGAGGATGGAACTCTGTGCACCACATCGGGGTGGGCTGGTCTGGGGAGGAGGTCCCACAGCAGCCACTGCCACTGCCCGGCTGCAGCCCCTACCTGGGTCAGCAATGGTCACCGTGGTCTGGGGGTAGCGACCAATCTTGGCGCCGTACTTGGGGTGCAGGAGGTCGATAGCAAATTGCTTGAGCTGGCAGTTGTTGAGGAGGGTGTCTATCTCTGTCAGCTCCAGCAAGGGCACCTGCACCTCCTTTCGGGTCTCCCCAGGCTGGAAGACCAGCTCACCTTCCGTGAAGAGGTAGTCCTGGAGGAGGAGAAGGAAGAGGTGTGCTCAGGGTGAGGCTGGGTGGGGCTCTGAGCAACCAGGTCTTGTGGAAGGTGCCCCTGCCCATGGCAGGGGTTGGAATGAGATGGTCTAAGGTCCCTTCCAATGCAAACTGTTCTAGGATTACAGCCTGCAGTATCCATGAGGAGATCCCCAAAGAGCTTCCCCTCACCCCCCAGTCAATCCTCATTTGCCTCCCAGTGCCCACAGCTCCAGGGGCAGCTGGTACCCTCTGCCTCAGGCACAGACATCCTCTCAGGTCCTCCCTCCCTGGGGAAGCAAAGGATGGAGAAGAAAGTTTACCCTTGTGCTGACCTCAAGCCTTGGGTCCCCTCTGTCCCAGCCATGTGCTGATAACTCCTTTTCTGCACCCCCAGAGCTGGCCTTTTCCCAGCCCTCCATTCCCCCTCCCTCCTGCCTGCCAAGGCCAGGAGCTCCACGCTTACCCTGCCGTTCTTGGCAGTGAGATCCCGGGTCCTGTAGGTGACCTGGGATTTCCCGTTGTCGATGATCTCCCTGAGGACAGGGATCTTGGCCAGCTTGTCAAAGCGGCTGTGGGAATAGGCTGGCTGCAGGAACGTGATGAGGCTGCTGGCTGGAGAGGGCAGGAGAGAAGGAATGTGTAGAGAAAATACACAAAGACTCACATCCCAAACAGGTGTCCTCCTCCTTGAACAGAGTTCCAGTCACCCACGGGTGTGAACTGTGCATGAAATATCATTGCATGGGCTGGAGACTTCCCCACTTCCCATTTGTGCTCCCTGCTCTTAACAGCCAGGTGGGAAGGAGAGGGAGTGCTGGGCACAATAACATCAAAGAGGTCCTGCTTCATGCCAGCACTCAGTGAATTGGAGCAGCAGAGGAATGTGGTCAGCCCTTAATCTGTCATGGAATTGGCATCTAAACTGGTGATAGTCAAATATTTCTGTCAGCAGGGAAGATCACCCTCCTTTGGAAGCATTAAAGCAGGCTCCAGTTTAGACCCAGGTGGCTTCAGGGAGGAGTCACCAAGGAAGTCCTCTCCTCACAGGGGACACTTGGACACAGACACCTCACACACTCACAGCCCCTCACCTTGCTCCTTGATGATGGTGATGTTAACAACCCTGCGCCCAATCTTTGCGATGCCGTTGGGGACCTCGATGGCCTCCACCTGCAGCTGCTTCTCATCATCATCATCGTCCCTGATGAAGAGTGGGACACGGACGTCCACCAGCTCCACGGCCTCTTGGAACTCCACCATTCCCTGAGCATCTGGGGGAAAAGACAAGGGTGAGAGGTGGGAAACAACCCCTGTACCCAGCCAGGAGCCAGTGCCAGGCTCTGCTCCCTACCTTGGTCTGAGGTCACAGTGTAATAACCCGGTGCAACCTTCAGGTCATTGAAGGCCTCGTGGGAAACGTGTTTTTCCACAGCTTTGATGATGTCTGGCTTGGCTGAGTAAGGGGCAGTGAGCACTGTATCCACAATGGTGTGATCCTGCCTGGGAGCGGGGAGGGAAGGGCAGGTGAGAGCTGAGACCAGGGAAATTCATCTCTCACTGCAGCTGGGGGGCCAGTGAGTGTGTGGGGACTCAGTCACCCCACACGTGCCTGTGCAAAGAGGGAGAAGCAGCACCAGAGAGCTGCAAATTCCTCTTACCTTTTCCCAGAATTAGGCTGTAACCTGGGGGAATAAAAAAACCAAAACCAAATCAGAGTGACTAACACCTTTGGAGAGACAAAGTGCTGTGTGAATCACAGCCCTGTGCAGGTCTGAGCTGCAGCACTGCCCTGCGGGTGCCAACCCATCCCACAGAGCCCCAGCACATGTTCCCTCCTGCCCAGCTGCTCTCTCCTGCCCTGGGTTTCCCAACGCACCAAGGAACATGCCCACAGGGGAGACCACATTTGGATCAGGCTGTGGGGAGGAGATACCACTCCCTGCTCAGCACTGGCATCCCCAAATTCCTCCCAGCCTGCACCAGGCACTCCTAAGCTGCACCAGGCTGAAACTTTGGGAGCCAGTGGAAATTCTCCCATTGAGCACCCTGCAACCAGGACTTGTTCCCGCTGCTCCAGAGCCAAACTCAGCTGAGATCTCCTGGGGGAACCCTGTCCTGCAGGAGTCTCTCCCCCTCTGACTCACCTGAACTTGGTCTGCTGGACCTTGTGGCAGCCAGGAATGTGCTTGAAGACCTCATTCAGCTGCAAGGAGCAAGAGGGACAAGATTCACAGTGTATCCCTCACTGAACAGGATGTGCTCAGTGAGCAGATGCTGCTGCCTCCACACACAGGAGCCCTCCGACCACCCCAGGCCCTCCTCCCTCACCCTTCCACACCAGGTTTCATCTTTCATCCCAGGACATGGCAAGAGGCTGCAACTGAAGCCAAACAGGACCTTCAGATCACATGTCCCAAAGCAAACCCAGAATCTCCATGAGATGCTTTGCCAATTCTTACAATCGTGACCTTAAAAATTGTGCTTTCTCACAAAAGAAGAAGAACTGCTCCTTCCTTTGCATAGCTGTGGGTTCCCAGGGAAGGGGCACTGCCCAGCCCCCTGTGTGGCTGTCCCCAAGGCCGCCCCGAGCCCCCCTTGTGCCCAGGCTCCTACGTTCTCCTCCACTTCCTTGCGCAGCTGCTCGAACTCCCGCGTGTCCGGTTTCATCAGGTTCTGCGTGAAAAGCCGGGCCAGCCTCAGGGACAGCCCGTAGGGAACTGGAAAGAGAAATTCCCAAATCCAACTCCGTCCTTCTCGGTCAGAGACACACCCCAGGGAGAAGCTGGAGGCTGGGGACACTCACCGAGCTCCTTGGGGCTGGTGGCAGCGGGGGAGGCGCTGCCCTGCCTGTGGACATTGTTGTGGATCCTCCAGCGCACCGTGTCCCGGCCCTGGAGGGAGCCGCTGCGCACCAGGGGCGTGTCCAGGTGCTCGGAGGACATGAGGCTGTGCCGCAGCATGTAGTGGTCCTCCTTGAAGCCAACCGTGCGACCTGCAGAGCCGGGGCGGGTTAGAGCCGGGGCACACCGGGACACACCACAGGTTCTGTGCTGGGGGATGCTGAGGGTTCCACCAGGCCGAGGGGTTGGGATGTCAGCAGGGGAGAGGGATGGAGGAGAAAGGGGTGCTCAGGGGTGGGGAGAACACATCTCACCAGCTGAGCATTACATGTCAGGGAGAGCCAGCAGTGGGACTCCCAGCAGGGCAGCCCAGGTGTTGGGTATTTTAGCTTTTATAGAGATGGGGTAACTGAGAGGTGTTTGAAGAGATTTTATTCCATTATCAGTCTCGATGAAGGGTGAGACGTAAGAGATGTAAAACTCAACACCATTCTATCAGAAGCTAATTTCTTAGTTATTTCTTAGTTGTAATACTTTATAAATGTTTTTCAGCTCATTAACTTTAACTATACAATGTTGCTATTACTTCTAACACCAATCACTTATATTTTTACTCCACATAATCTTACTCCAATCTTTCACAGTTCTAATTTCTAAAATATTTTGTCTTTTTATAAAGACATTTTGAAACTTATTTCTAGTTCAATCTCTCCCTCAGCAATGTCATCTCTATTCCATAGCCTTCCTAACTCAACACACCTTATCTCAGTATTTGCATGCAGATATATTTTGAAAATTCTTTACAAAACCATTTCTCACAACAGGGTGTGGGGCAGGGAAGAAGCTCCAGGACTCCTTGGCTGAGGCTCTCTGCTAGGAGCCTTCTCCCTGATCCACCTCTCCAGCTCAGAGGGGAGGGATGCTCACCCCAGCACACCCCAAACCCAGGGAGGGAGCGCACCCCAGAGCCCTTCCCCAGGACCCAGGGCTGGTACCTCGTGCACAGCAGGGAAGCAGGGCCAGGCAAGCCTAGAAAACAAATGGCCAGAGACACAATCACTTTGTGGCCAAGGACAAAACCCCCCAAGCCTCCATCAGGAAGGATCCACATCAGCAGGGATGTGTGAGCAGTGGGTGGAGGGGGCTCTCAAGCTGATTTTAGCTAGATGGGGGAAATCTGGCTAAAATTTCACCAGCAGCTCATGCTAGCAACAGCAGAGGGTTGGATACCATAGGGCCATCTGCTGTGAACCTGGCCATGCTGGAGGCTGGGTGAATTCTGGAAATTTGTCATGTTTTTGGCTATATCTGGTTCTCCCCCTGGGCTGGGGAAGCCAGCTGAGACACTCACCTTGCAGCAGGCACAGAACTTCCAGCAGAGCAGGAGCAGCAGCCCCAGGAGCAGGATGAGGAAGATGAGCAGTGGGATGAGCCAGAGGAAGCTCGCAGGTGGACACTCTGCAAGTGACAGCAGCAATGTCACCTCCAGGCATCAGCCCCGTGTGGGGTGTGCAGGGAGGGAGGGAGCAGGGAGGGGAAAGGCTGGAGCCCAGCTCTCTGAGGGATGCTGCAGCCCAGTTAACCTTGGCAATGCCTCACAATGAGAAATGCTGTTCAGGTAGGGCCATCACACCTCTGTCACAGCCAGCCAGACCAAAGGGCTGCAGCACCTTGCAGCAATCCCTGCCCATGGCAGCAGGGGAAAGGCTCTGATCTGTAAAGGTCTCTCTGAGGTTGCCACGTTCCCACCCCTTGCATGGGACAGACAGTGTCACCCACCCGTGGCACTCAGCAAGGTGGGCAGGGAGGTGCTGCCTGCAGCTGACCCTGCCCAGGGGCACAGCAAAGGGACAAAGCAGGGGTTGGAGGCACTGTGGAGGTGGTCAGTCCGATCCAGATCCCAGGCTGGACATCCCCTGCTGGACATCCCCATGCTGGACATGCCCTGCTCACCTTTATTCTTCTGCACACGGACAGTGGTGTTGGGGAGGACACTGGGGTCTCCCTCCAGCGTGTAGTGGTAGGTGCAGTCATCATCCTCATCCTGGAAGGAGCAGTACTCACCAGCCTCCTCTGTGGGGACAGGGGACATGGGTGTGAGGTCACCAGGGCCAGGAAAGCCTTGGGGAGCAGCCCTGAGTGCACAGCCACACGGAGCAGGGCATGCAGGACACACCACACATGGCTGTGCACAGCTCTGCTTCTCACGGTACCTTTCTTCAGCTCCTCCACCATCTGGATCTGGAGGTGGCAGGAGCTGCAGTTCCCTTTCAGGTTGCCTGTCCCCCAGGTCTGGCAGCGGACGCAGTCCCGGATGCTCTCACACACAGCCTGGAAGCCCTGGGCAGAGGGGGTGGGGTGGTCAGGGACACCCCCAGGAGTGGGGGAGGACACAGCCTCTGAAGGGCAGAGCTGGAGAGGCAGCTCCTTATCCCAGAGTCAGGGCAAGGTCCAGGTCAAAAAGAGACGTCACTGACAACAAGCAGCTCATGAAGGATTTATAAGTCCAGTTGGCTCCAAAATCTCTTACTCCAACAGCCTGCATTTGAGCAGCAATTAGATCTTCTCCAAGGGTTTCAGTGGCCTTTCCAAAACGTGATCAAGCCAGCTTTCTCCATCCTACTGTGGGATTAGCCCATGTTTGTCAATGGGGAAATTGAATGTGTTCAAGGCCAGGTTGGGTGGGGCCCTGAGCAACTCGATCCAGTGGAAGGTGTCCCCGCCCATGGCAGGAGAGGCAATGAGATAAACTTGAAGGTCCCTTCCAATCCAAACCAGTCTGTGATTCAATGACATGAGGTTTTTCCCAGTCTTGAGGCAAATCAGAACAAGCCACAAGCTGAGCCTCAAACCAGGGTGCAGATAAACACAGACAGACTCTCAACAGCTGCTGCTGGTGAACAGCAGGGCAAAGAAAGCCTGTGGCTGCAAAGCAGCTCCCATGCCAGACTTTTCTGGCCACAGGATAGGTGAGACAAACTCTTGCTCAAGATTTTGCTCCTAACTGAGATGTGCCTTCATCTCTGCTTTGCCTTTCTTCCCTGGAAGCTCTGTGTGGGAATAAATGATGAACGCAGAGGGACTCACCAGGGAGTAGCTGATTTCACAGGTGGAGCTGGTGTACAGCGAAGCCATGTCACAGATGCATCTGCCACACTCACACCTGCCGTGGTTATTGCAGATGCCCTGGGAGGGAAGAGGTGACAGCCTGAGAGTGGCACTGGGAGTCAGCAAGGCCCCTCAGTGCCCCAGAGATGCCAGCACAGGGGCAGCCCTGCCTGGGGAGGCGGGGCAGGACCTACCCCCCGGCTGTCGATGCAGGTGTCGTTGCTGGTGGGGCATTCACAGCCCGGGCCCTCCCAGCCGCTCTCGCACACGCAGGCGCCCCTGGAGCAGCGGCCACGATCTGCAGGGAGAGCAGAGATTGCCGGGGCTCCAGGGCTGGGCCATTCCCCCAGCCCTGTCCGGGGCTGCCCCGCTTTCTCTGGGGTGCACAGGGGCTGCAAAGGGGCTGCACAGCATCCTCCCTGTGCTTCTGCAAGCGCACAGTCCCTGCAGACCATCACTGTGATATTTTCTGAAAAATCCCTTCGCCAGGATTACTTCTCCTGGGAAGCTGAGAAGCTTCAGCTTCTCCCTGTTTTGCTGCTTTGGAATGTGATTTGGAGATTGTTTACCCAGTACGTGAATTGTTTTAATTTAATGGCCAATCATGGTCCAGCTGTGTCAAGTCTCTGAGGAGTCACGAGTATTTATTATTCATTCTTGTTAAGTTTTCTGATGTGTCCTCTCTCTTTCTTTAGTATAGTTTTAGCATAGCATTCTTTAATATAATATAGTAAAATAATAAATCAGCCTTCTGAGAACATGGAGTCAGATTCCTCATCTCTCACCTCATCCTGGGGACCCTCACAACACCACACTGGTCACTCAACTCCCCGTGCCAGTGCCACCGGTCCAGGACACCCTGTCTGTGCCCCCAGGCCCAGCACATCCATCCATCCATCCCCAGCCCTCTGGGGGGCTCTCACCGTTGCAGAGGAAGCCGGAGGTGCGCGGGCACTGCAGGACATCGAACTCGCAGAAGGCGCCGTCGAAGCGCAGGCTCTGTCCCTCGGAGTAGCACTGGCACTTGCCGCACAGGCACTCGCCCCTCCCCGAGCACGGCTCCGCGTCCCCGGGCCGGACGCAGCCCTCGTTGCTGGGGGAGGACGCTGGGGAGCAGTCGCAGGTGTCCCCTCGCCTGGGGACAGAGATGGTGCTGAGAGAGGCAGGAGCAGAGCGCAGCACAGCAGATCCTGGGCAGGGTGCCCACAGTGTGTCCCCGGCAGGGGGGTGGCTCTGGACACGGTCCTTACCAGCCCGGGTGGCAGATGCACTGTCCGCACACAAAGTTCCCGTGGAAGCTACACTTGGGCGAGTCCAACTCTTGTTGCTGGAAGTGAAGAGAGAAACGGCCTTGATGAATGGGCCCAGCTGCCCCCAAGACCATTTCAGGAATCAGAAAGGCAGGTAAAGGCAAAGTTTTGCCCTGAAGAGCAAGCTCTACCATGGGACATCACACCGAGCTGGGAACAGGCAGTGATGGAGATCTTGGCCAGGCTGAGCATCACTGAGGGGTCGAGCAGGACCCGCGTGCATCAGCCAACACATTCCCACCCCGGGCTGGCAGGAGGAGGACCCCTCTGTGCATGACCCCACCTGTTCACAGGGACACACGTCGCAGACCACAGCAGTTGACACCGTGAGGCTGTCGCTCAGGGACGTGGGTTTCACGTGGATGACTCCGTGCCGGTCCCTCTCGGGGAGGCTGCACACGTGCTGCCCTCCAACGTACTCCAGAGCCTTCACGTGCATGTGGAACTTGCTCTGAAGGAAGGGACACACTGCAGGGATGAGCCAGCTCTGCTGGACCACATCCCAGCTGGACACGGAGAGCTCATCCCCTCACAGGTTCCTTCCCTCTGCTGCCATCCGAGGACTTACCACTTTTCCACGGGTGATGTGGAAGGAGCCCGATTCTGTCTTTTCAAATTCTGGGGAGGTGAACTCTGTCTTCAGGGCTCTGGGGGTGAAGTCAGCCCGGATGTCCATCTTGGAGCGGATGCGCTGGGCACCAGAGCATAAACACAATGTTGATTTTCAGCAGTACCTGTGACCACCCCATGGCCTGCTCCAGAGGGGCCACATCTGCCCTCTGCCTGCTCTCCTGCCCAGGAGGTGCCCAGCCCCTGCCCTCCCTGTGAGCCAGGGTGAAGCTCCAGAGAGCACCGTTACCTCAAAGGCTGTGCGGAGCAACTCCACAATGTTGGAAGAGTCTTCCTGGAGCACCCCGATCTCAGAGATGGGGAAATACTTGTGCAGCTTCTGCAGAGAGACAGGAGCTCCCTGAGCCAAGGCCTTGAGAACCCTCCTCTATCACAGGAGTGGGCTCTGCTTTGAGACCTCCAAATGTCCCTTCCAACCTAAATTAATCTCCAGCTCTGTGCCTCCATTGCTTTACAAGAAGCAGAAACCAACACAAGGAGACCTCTGGAAGCCCAGATTCCTATATCCAGTAATATACCTTGAGACCCCCCACAACCTAGAGCAGCCCCCCAACACAGTGTGCCACCCTCCCAAATACCAAGGTGTTGGTTGAGCACTTGGGGACAAGCAATGGGAGAACACTTTCTCTTCAGAGCTGAGCTGAGACAGAGGCCCTGGAGGAAAGGCAATCCCTCGTGTCATCACTGCCATGTTCTCCTCACCTCATAGTAGCTGTAGGAGTGGTTGGTGACAGCGAAGATGGGGATGATGTTGTGCTGGCCCAGGAGGCGCACGAGGGTGGGCACTGAAGGATAGTCCTGCTTGGTGTCGTACACGTAGGTGCCGTGGCTGTCCAGGTGGCACTGCTCGTCGTTCCTCGCCAGGATCCCTGCCAGGACGTTGGTACCATCAGCTTCATAGTGAAAGGCAGACTCGGTGGAGAACACGAGCAGGTGAGTGCTGTCCTTTCTCCAGCCAATCTTATCCTGCAGCCAGGGAAGGGGAGAAGGAACATTTATCTCTGTGCTTCCCAAACCCCTGCACAGCACTTGCAGCCCTTGGCAAGCCAGCACTGACAGGAGCTGGAATACCCAAGGGACAAGGCACCACCTGCACCTGGCAGCCATCACAACCAGCCACGTGTCCCCAGGAATCCCAGCACCGACCCACACCCCAAAGCACAGGGTGTCTCCCACCCAGCAGCTTGGTGCCAGGCACATGTGTGTACAGGGGGCAAGCCCACACCTCCCTGGACGTGTCTGGAGCTGTGCTCATCCCTCAGCCAAGCAGCCAAACCCAAGTGGGCTCTTTTCCAGGGAGCAGAGTTTCATCACCGTAGGCGTGGAGGGGGACAGAGCAAAGAGCACACACAGGGCTCCCAGCAAGGAGACAAACAGCAGGATACATATTCTAAGGCTTAAGGAAAATTGGGAATGCAAAACAGCTTGGCACTGGGAGCATGTGCCTGGGAGGGCAAGAACCAACTGTAGCTGAGCCAGGGCTCCCTGGCTGCCCTGTCAGGTGCCCGGTGCACGACTCTTCTGCTCATCAGTGGGCATCAGGAAGAGCCACTCTGTTGTAGTGTGTTTTTATACTTTGTAATACTTTGAAGTAATTTTGTTTTGTATCCCCGTATTTTTCCCAAATGGTTTATCCCAGACTGTACCCCCCTTCCTTTACCTGTGTAATCCCTCTCCCTGGATGAGATCATCCCCAAACCCCCACCCTGGCTCTCTGTCAATCACTCAGCATCCCATCCCCCCATCTAGAAGCTTCGATCCAGGATGTCGAGTGATTAGCCAGAGACAAGGGGTCAGCCCCCCAAGCCTTGCCCCATACACTGTCCTAAATGTCTATCCCCCAGTACCCATCCCTTAGGGTCACTTATTGGTTAGTAAAATGTTATCTACTTTCGGTTTCCACCTCCCTTTAAATGTAACCTTGGCATATCTCCCGGGGTTCTCAGCAGGAGCCCCCTAAGGTGCAGGAGCTCCCCAGAGCCCCTGAATAAAACCTTGGATTAACCCCTGCTAAGAGTTGGCCCTTTATCTTCTACTGATGTCTCTGGCGTCTCTTCTGCTGCAAAGGTGACCAGCCCAGGTGCCCTCAGTACCCTTGGGGCACGGGCTGAGGGTTCCTGAGAGGCTCACAGAGGGACAGAGACACCACTCCTTAAAAACACAGCCCTGGCCACCCTCACCTTGCACACAGCTGTCTGCAGGATGGCATCGAAGCCGCCCTCGGGGGCGTCCAGGTTGCCGGAGATGCGCTCCTTGCGCAGCTCCTGGCTGAAGTGGTTGATGTTGCTGGTCAGGCGGATGACGTTCTTGAAGGAGAATGGGGAGTCGGCGTTGTGCCAGGGCTCACGCAGCCTGGGACAGATGGAACCAGGGGTCTCGTGTGGGCCAGGAGCCAAGGGATGCCGGGGTGCAAGGAGAGGAAATGTGGGGAGAATCCCTCAAGGGAAGTCATGGAGCTGAGCAGCTCAGCCACCAGCACAGAGAGGGAGAAGGGATGAGGGCAGAGATAGAGGAGAAGATGAGTTGGTTGTGGCAGAGCAGGGAAGGTGTGAAAGCAGAGGATGACACTGCTGGCATTGTCACAGTGCTACAGCAAGCCCTGAGGGATGGGGAGACCAGGGAGGACACCAGCAGTGAAGGTAGGGAGATGGATGGAGGCTCTTGCACTGCTCACTGAAAGCCACAGAGAAACAGAAGGCACCTTCCACTCCCTCTACTCCCATCTCAGGGACCCATGGGGCTCACTCACTTTTCAGGTCTCATGTCTGTCTGAGGGGATGAGACTTTGTCCACAAACTTGCCAAATCCAATGGTGTAATTGGAAGTCAGGGCTTGCAGGAAGTCCGCTGGGAGGAGGGGAAAGGAAGGGGGACACACATAAATAAAGAGATGCCTGTGAGCTCCCTGCTCCAGGGAAAGAAGTCATTTTGTGGGCATCTTCTCTGCTGGTGGGTTTTTTGATAAGATTCCCAAACTGTCATCTTTTATAGGGCAGAAACAAACACCCTCTTTGGAGCCTCAAAACTGGAGCTCCTGCTATAGCTTCCAGCAGGTTCAGGATGCCAGAGGCCCTGCACAGACCAGCTCTGAAGGGCACCAGCTGGGCTGGAAGGGGAGAGCATGTGAGGATCCCTGCAGGACCAGAGAGACATCCCCACACAGGACTGCAGAGAGATAATGAGAAGCTCTAATTAAAACAGACCCTCTCGGGCCATTGCCAGCTGCATCCCCCTCTCTGGTGCTGGCAGAGGACTCGCAGCCACAGGCAGGAACGAGCTGGCTGCCTTCATCAGCACAGAGCAGGCTCCCCTCTTCTCCCAGCTCTGCCCTCACCTAGGTTATGCCCCATGCTTTTGAGGTTGTCCAGATCATCAGACATGGAGTAGGAGAAGTCCATGAGGATGTAGAGATCCACAGGGCTCTCCTTGGGCTGGAAGACATCCATGTAGAAGCTCATCTCCTCGCCAGCCCGCAGCCGCATGTACATGGCCTGGGGGGACACCTGGGTCCTCTGCAGGGACATGTTGATGCTGGAATTCTGTGAAGGAGAGTGACATGGAGGGGATGGACTCCATCTCCAGCATGAGTGCAATGAGGAGGAGGCAAGGAGCAGGGAGATGTGTGGGAAGTACAAAGGCAGGGATGAGCACGTCCCCCTCCCTCATGTACTGTCCAACAGCCTCCCCCACAGCTACTCGTGTCCAGCCAGGCACCTTCTCCAGAGGGATGTGAGCACTTTGCTTACATCTGCTGTGTCTGCAAAGGCAGCCCAGCCTGGACCAGGGCCAGTGACCCACAGGTCCACCAGCTGGCCAAGGCATTGTTTTTGAGTAGATCCTACATAAATAGCGATCTAGGCTTTGTGTTCTGCCTGCTGAGGAGCCTAGAGAAGGCTGAAGGAGCCCTCGGGAGAGGCTGAGCACGGGCTGTGTGTCCCCAGCACGCACCTTCAATGTCCTCATCTCTCCCTGGGTGTACACGATGCTGCCCTCCCCGCAGCCGGAGCGCAGCAGGTTCTCCCGCAGGTCACAGCGCGGCTCCTCGAAGCTCTGCCAGGGAGCAAGAGCAGCATCAGAGACACAGAAACCACCAGATCCACTGGGAAAGGGGGAAACACACAGGGCAGGAAGCAGGGTCTTGTGCCTAGAGCATTATGAGCCTTCAAGAGCAGGAGAGGGGCAGAGAGATGGGTTCTGTGAGAGATGTTCTCACACAGAACCACCAGCTGAAATGTGACCACCAGTGAGTCACTGGGTTGTGTGAGATAAATCTCTCCCTCCATCCCTTGCACACACTGTTTCTGGTGCACTGTCATTTTCTGATAAACTCCTGTATTACTGCAATTCTGCCTAGGACCCCCCTCCCTCCCTCCCCATGTTCCACACCAAAAGGAAATCCACATTGCAGCCTTTCCCATGCAGAAGAGAAGCTGGATCCAGCAGCTGTCCCTGCTCTTGTGTCCCTGTCCCACTGAGGGCTGTGGGATCCCTCCCTCAGCAGGGTGAGAAGAGGAGCCCCAGGCTGCCCTGCAAGGTCTCACCTCATCAGTGCAGAAGGAGCAGTCCTTGTCCACCCGGATGCACTCGGTGCAGCTCTTTGCCCGGGACAGCACACAGCGGTTGTCTGCCAGGAAAGATCAGGGCATCAGGGATGGGGAGAACAAAGGGAGCTGTGGGAGAAAGGCTGATCCCATGGAAAAATGAAGGTTTTGCCTGGTTAGTGGAAACTGGCTGCAGAACAGCAGTGGGGTAGCATGGGAGGGTTCCCAAAACTGGGGAGATGGAAAACAGCAGGAAAAGCCCACAGCAGGTGCTCTCCACATGAAGACTGGTGTTTCTGGAAGCAGGGCAGGTACACACAGTCCCCAAGGGGAGGTGGCAGACAGGGCTGCCATGGCTCCACTCACTTTTGCTCCATTGGCAGACACTGGTTGTGCAGAGCAGGGACAGGAGGAGCAGCCTGGCACACGCCCGTGGCAGCACATTCATCCTCTTCCTCCTGAAATAAAGGGATTGCTGCATTGCAGAGAGCCAAGAGGTGGAAATGGATCTGGATATGGCCAGGGCAGCACCCACAGAGCCCCTTACCAGCCTTGCCAGGGTGGGACAGCCCTCACATCCTGGGCTGGAAACAATTGCTGAGCTCTGCAGGGCAGGGCACAAAAGCAAAACCAAGGATGGTTTGTGCTCTGCTCAGGCATCTGCAAAAGGCTCAAAATTCCCAGCAATGCCACCCCTGTGCCTGGAGTTGGGGTGTCCAGCTTGACATCAAGGTTGCTGCAGGCAGCTGGAGCACAGAAGGTCCCAGACAGAGCCCAGCACCATCCACACATGTGAGCACTGACCAGGCCAAGACATTGCTTTTCCTGGCAGGTTAGAGAAACAAAACAAAAAGAAAGAAAACAAAACAAAACAAAAAACCCCCCAAAAAAAACAACAACAAAAAAAAACCACCAAAAAAAAAAAAGGAAAACAAAGTGACTGTCCACATCTCTCCCCAAAAGCAACACTGACCCCTCCCTTCAGCTATTTCCTATCACACTAAGAGTTTCCAGGATGGTCAAGCTAACAATAAAGAGAGGGTGAGGTCTTGGGAAATGCCAGGCTTGGAGCTTTGGAGTCACTGAATGAATCTGTGGTTTTGAGAGCCTGGCAGATCCCCTTTGTCCTGTCCAGGGCAGCAGAACCCCTTGATGGACACAGAGGTCAAGTCCTAAACAGAGTGAACCATTCTCCCTGCACCACACATGACTGAGAAAACTCAGTGCCATCCAGAAGTCAGCATTTGGATGTGGTAAACAGAAGGCACAAAGCTGGAACTCGAGTTCTGCAGCTGCTGTGCCAGAGGCTCGTCCTCACAGCCAGCAGGGCAAGTGAGAGCAGTCAAAGAAAAATCATCAGTGTAAAGATATCGTTAAAGCATCTCCTTCCTGGCAGATGCAATTGTGAAATATGAAATGTGAATGAATTGTCTTATAGCTTCTTGCTGTGTCAGCCCTGACTCTAAAATGAAAAGAATGTGGAAACCACTTAAAACAAGGAAAGGATACAGGAAAAGTTGTTGCGTGCAGTAACGATGCCCAAGTTCCCCGAGGGACATCCAGCACACAGAGCAGTCACGGGGAGACTCAGCCACTCACAGCCTCCCTGGGCTGCAGGGAAACCCCTGGAAAAACCCAGCCTGGTCTCAGCAGCACCAGATCACACCTGGCCTCTGCAGCCAGGGGAACACATTGAATGCAGCAATTGTTGTGACACAGGGCTCAACCAAGGCAGCATCGACAGCACAGGACCTCGCTCCTGGTGGCTGCACTTGGCTCCATGTGAGAGCCACTGGGTGCACAGCAGCAACTGGCAGGGCACTGGTTCATCCTGTCAGCTGTGCCCAGAAGGATTTACCACAGCCACCAATGCCCAGTGGCTAAAAGTGAAACACGGGGGCCTCAGGGCAGCGTCTCTGCAGGGAAACCCCGGGAAGCTTTGGGGTGGGAACCCCAGGGAGCTTTGCTGTTCCTCAGGACCTGTGGCCAATGTGCTGTTTTGCCAATGAGCTGCTTTTCTTATGGGTAAAGGTACCAGCTGAGCAAGGGAACTCCTCTGCTTCCCTCCCTGCCCCACTGACAGCCAGGCCATGTCCCCAGTTGGGCCCTTTGCAGGTTTGGGGGGTCCCTGTCCCCCCAAGTCCCATTGCAGCGCTGGCTCTGAGGCCAGCATTGCTCACCCAGGACATGCCTGTGGCCTCCTTCAGGGACAGTCCTCACACCAGCACTCACTGGCAAATATTGTGTCCCTTGCTACTGACACAGGCAGATTTTGAAGCCAGGAAAATCCCTTTTTGCCTTGCTCTGCCCCAGCCCAGGAGAGTGCTATGGAGATGTGGGGAGGTGCCAGGTAGAGGTGGGATGAAAGGGTAGGGAAGGAATCCTCAGAGCCCATGGAAGGAAAACACAGTTGAAAACATCACCTGAGCACTCAGCAAATCCCATCTCCCACCATGGCAGGGGCCACAAGGAAAAGATTGAGTATGGGACCAGACTGCTCAGCTCACAAGGACCTAATGCCTCTTCCCTTAATCACCAGTTAGGAAAAAGTCACCAAGGAACGGATGGACACACCCTGGGCCTCAGGCTCATAAATTGCCATCACGTCTTTTCAAGTGCTGAGATAAAAGGCCATAAAATCCTGCTCAATATCAACGTTCTGTTGCCCTGTGAGCCACCAACCTTCAAGGATTTTACTGGGCAGATGCCAGCCTGCTGGGTGCTGGTGGCACGGAGCATGGCCGCTGAGGAATGCAGCTGCAATATTCCTGCAAAAATATGGGAGTGGCCACCCCTTGCTTTCAGAAGTGTCCTCTGGAAGGGAAAATGCCACTTCCACTTCAGGAAAGCTGCAGGATTTAGTTGGGTTTTCATGACAACAACAACAACAAAAAATAAATCTGTTCAGTTGTTCAAAAACAAGGAGAAAGAGCAGCTCCTGGCTGCACATAAACTTCCTACCATTTCCCAGACTTGCTCCAGCATTTCCTCCTGGTCTCCTCTTGCTCCCCCAGCCTTTGCCCTGCCCCTCAGCACAGCCAACAAACCTGCTCCAGGAATCTGCCAAGAACCCCTGAGTGTAGAGAAGCTGGGGCTAGGTACCTCATCCCCAAAAATCCAGTCAATGCTCCAAACAAACCACTGGTGCAATGGGACAGAGGACAGGGTTGGAATGGCAGATGGAAGAGCAAGGAGCAGGTTGTGATGAGCCACAGAGCAACAGCAGGAGCCTGGTCCCAGCTGCCACATGGGGGACACCTGGCAGGTTGGGACACGGGAGTGGGAAAGTGAGGGAGATGCTAAGCAAGGAGTTCCCAAGCACAGCCTTTCCTCTCTTGGGTGGGAATTGCTCTTTTCATGGCTGTGTGGGGCTGTGCAGGGGACTAACCCTGGTCCCTGGCATCAAGGACCATCCACATGTCCATGTGTGCTGAGGATGGGCAGTGCAGCCACAGCCCAGGGGATCAGGGACACAGCTCATGTTCTGTCCTCCTCAAATATGGTGGCACAGAGCTGCTGGGACCATGCTCCAAAACTTGGAAATTATTAAGCCAGACTTCCAAAAACTACCAAAAACTCAACCCAAAAATCACATTGTCTCCTACACACAAAATCCTAATGGTCCTGTTTTGTGTGCCTTCCCCATCCTTTCCCTCTCCTTCCCCAGGCGTGCTCCTGCAGCTGGGACACCCCATGTGAGTGTCTCCGTTTGTTGTTTTCAGCTCCCAGGTTGAGTCCCAGACCCCAGACATGGCCCCCAGCACCCTCCAGCCAGGGACAAAACACAGCAGGACCCAGCCCAGGCACCCACACGGAGCTGCTGGGAGCTGCTTTGTGCCAGCACCCCCCGTGCTGTGAAGGGCTGGTGGCTCTGGTTCCATCTCCTCCTGCTCACCCCTGGGCTCGGGCAGAGGGGAACCCCAAGGAGCAGAGGCAGGAACAGCAGCACCCTGCCTAGGGTCTTCCCAAATGCCATCACAGCCCCTGAACCCCCCGTTCCCTCCATGTGCTCTTCCTGCCACTTTCTCAGCTCCTTTGGCCCCACAAGACACTTTTCCCTCCTCCCCCTCCGTGGGTGCTCCTCATCCCCCTTTCCCCCAGCTAACCCATGCCTGTCAGCCCCCTCACACCAACCCTCCTGTCCTGTTCCCTGTCCATGTCAGATCCACGGATTTGCAAACACCCCAACACCTGCAGTTCAGCAAAGCCCACCCTGAACCCCCCACTCTCTCCTGGCCGTTTCCTCTGGGATCCCCCTTCCCTTGCTCCCCCCTTGCAGGGGCAGCCACCAGGTCTGGAAAACAACCCCGGTGGGCTCCGGGGGTGGGAGGCACCCACAGCCCGGCTGGCCTTGCACCCTTCCACCCGTGAAAGCTTTCCCTGGGTGCCAGCTCCACAGCCTTTCCCCCTGGAACTGAGGGACAGGGCAACCCCTGAGACTCCAACAGCGTCCCCAAAGGGCTCTGCTCAGCCATCCCACCCCCGCACCGCTCCCGGACCCCCACCCAAATACCTGCGGACACAAACCCGGACCCGTGCGGCCCCCACAGCCCTGCCCGGTCACCAGCGCTGCCTTTCCCTGCCAGCCCAGAGGCACCGGACGGTGCCCGACAGCCAAAAACCAGGGGAAAACAGAGGGAACAGGCGGGCAGGGGCTGAGCCCCGCGCTCCGTGTCCTGCCCACCTGCCCGAGCATTAATTCACTGCCCGGTTCATCAACGCAGCCAAGTTCGAGCGAGCTGGACGCTGCAGAGCACAGATGAATTGATTCCACAAACCTCATTAGCGCCGGGTCTGACTGAGAGTCCAAATCCTCTGCCGCAGCCCGAATAACAGGCACCGCACACCAAGCCAAGAAACTCTCCCGAAGGCAGAGGGGGAACGTGCTGCTCCGCTGCTGCGACTTGATTTATTTCCAGCTTTGGGCTTTTCTTTCCTATTTTTTTTAAATTCTCTTTCTCCCTCCTCTCTATTTTGTGTCCCTTTTCTCTTTCCGGTTAAACGTCAGGGCTCGGTGCGGCGGGGAGCGCAGCCCGCCCGCGATCCCTCATAACTCCCTGCGGCCCCTCAGCCAAAAATCCACTTTGTTCTCAGTGCCCGCGCTGCCGCCTCGCCCTCCCGAGGGGCTGCCAGGGAGAGAGGGTGGGAGTTGCGATAAATGAGCTCGGATCCCAGGTGAGGAGAAGTTTTATCCCAGGCGGGAGGGAGGAGGGGGTGCCCGTGACGCAGGGCTGGCATTCCCTGCTCCCTGCACACCTGGCCGGGCGGGCACAGCCTCCGGACCCTCCCACAGGAACAGGGCTGGGAAAGGGCGGTGGGAAGGTGCTGCCGAGGGCAGGGAGCCCGGAGGGGCTGTTCGGCTTCATCCGCCTGCTCAGGGCAGAGCTGAGGGAGCTCCCCGACCCCCCGTGGCAGGGGTATCTCCTCCCAGTTTCCCCCTGGCACGACTGGGAGGCGTCACCCTCAGAGCTCAGGTAATTCCTTGCTGAAATGTCAGGGAAATTCCTGCCCCGACAATCGGCAGATGCCGAGCTCAGCCTCAGTGCTTTGGGTGCAGAGGATGGATCAGCACCCTGCTCTATCCAGGGCGTGGGCACAGCAGAGCACTCCTCACCTGCAGTGAATCTGCCTCAAGATTGTAGCACCATGAATGATTCCCATCCATACCTGCATCCCACCATGGTCCAAGGCTGCCACGAGCAGCAGTCCCACAGCTGATTCCAGTCCTTCTGCTGAGCTGGATCCAAAATCCCTTCCCCAGTCCAAAGAACAGCAGAGGAGGGTTTAGAGTTCAGGTGAGGCTGTTTCTCTGTCCACAACACCCATTTGCTTTAGAGCCTGGGGTTGGTCACAGCTCAGAACCACTCACACTTTCCACAGAACAGAGCACACGCATTCTGGAGTAGATGCAATGTCACAGGCTGGATTTTGGCTCCCTGATAGATCCTCACAAGGAAAACTGCATCCCCTGAGCTTCAGCACAAACAATAGCAACAGCCAGATGGAAAAATGGCACATTTCCTGCCTGACTTTGAGCAGGGCAGTTTTGCCCTCCTCGCTCTCAATGTGGCATTACAGAGGCTGCTGCTCTCCAGAACTGATAGAAAGGTGAGGAGCAGGATTCCTTTCACTACAAGAAATTAGGAAGCTCAAGTTAATATATGCAAACTGCCTTAGCCCCAGGATAAAGGAGGATGTGCTTGTGCCATTAAAAACTACAGCAAATGGGAAACAGGCAGGAGTGCAGGGGAAGATGGCCCGGGCAGTTTAAATCTGGCATTTCCAAGTTTCCCAACTCATAACTTGGCAACCCCAGTCCTTTTGGAGACGTAATTTCCTAGAGTTAAAAAAAGGTTCTGAAAATGAAGGAGGTTTGCTGTTGGTTTTTTTTTTTTAAACACATGAAGACAGTGACTGCAACGTGAGAGCTGTGACATGAGACAAAATAAAGGCAGAGCAGAACCAGGCTGTGAGTGCTGATGCTTGAGCTGCTGGTGAAGAGCAGATTGTTCTCATGGAGGGGATGAAGGCAGAGGGTCCTGCTCTGCCTCAGGAGCCACAGCTGCAGCAGATGTTGGACATTGCAGATGAATTCAAACTGGGCTTCAGTTCCCAAGATGGGAGGGGAGCTTGTGCTGGTGCTCACAGACCTGCCTGGTCACCTCACCTGGCCCTGTCCACCAGCAGCTCCCACCAGCCCCACCCCACCTCCCACTGCTGCAATTTCCCTCTTTGAGGTAAGCAATGCAGCCACTGCAGTTGAAAAAGCCAATTTAGGCTGCAAGAAGCATTGTAGTAAAAAACTCAGTTAATTTAGTGATGGATCCCTAACAGGAATCCTGAAGCCAGCCAGAAAAGCTCATGGGAACCCAGCTTGCACCACAATACTTGGTGTCCTGCCTTTCTGGGTCCTCCTTTCTCCACCTGAGATGGAGAATGTTTATGTTGCCCCTGTAAAGGATCTCTGGTGTCACCTGCAGACCCTGACAGCCCCAGGGTTTCCTGACACCCTCTGCCTCCCCTTCATCCCTGCAGCCTGGAGCAGCAAGGAGGCACCAGCTCCCTTCAGCCTTCCCAGCTGTGAGGAGAAGCCCAGTTGCTCCCTCTGGGTGCTGCCAGAAGAACTCAAGATACCAATTTTGCACCTTTCTTTGAAACACCTCCCCCCAGCACCTAAGAGATCCCAAGCCCATGGAACATGAGTTTCCCCAGAGCTGTAATTGGGCTGCTTTTACATTTGCAGGGCTGATAAAGACACTTTTCCAATATAAAGGCAACTCCACCACCAAATTTTTAGGGCAAAAAATCAGAGAGGAATCAGGAATTTTCTGATTCAGGAATTTTCTCTCATGAGAATATAAAAGGTTTTAACTTCTTCTTGTCTTTAAAAAAAAAAAAAAAGGTTGTTTAATTGTTTAATGAGTCGTCTTTCAGGCAACTTCTCCAAATTACTTCCACCAGGGAAGAACACTGAGTGAAATCTTGCCTTGGTTCCATACCTTGCTCTCCCTGCCTGCTGGATCAGGCTTTTGTCACACAAATTTGCTGTTTTTAAGAACAGAGGACAGAGATTTCAGAGGCAGGGTGAGCAGATTTCAGTGCAGATGGCTCCACCACAGCTCACAGCCACATCTGTGGTGAATCTCACATTCATAAATCAGTGAATTTCTGTGGTGGCAACGTGGCCTAGAAATTTTTGCCCTAGGAGGAAAAACATGTAGTTTTATAGCTCACATGAAATTATTGCTCTCTCTGCTGACTACCAGTCCGAGTGCCAATTCCTGATAATTACAAGTGATTTCAGGGTTAATTATTGTCTTTTTTTTTAATGCCACGCCAGCTTGCAACAGAGCCTTTCTTCTTTCTGTCCTGCCATCACAGCATGCCTGGAGACAGCTTTGGGGGCTTTTTCTAGGTCTTTATTGTGCAGTTACAGCCAAAATCCTGCTGGCTGGAGCACATTCATCTCCTTTTTAAATTCTGTAACAACACACATTACTAAAAGAAAAATAAACACTTAATCCCATCACTGCACTGTATGCTGTAGTGACAATATCCTGCTATGTGGCTTAAATAAAAGGAATGTGTAATAATGTATTATTAATGTACATTAACGTGCACATAATTTATTGCACTAAATGATGCTTAATATAATTCCCTGTTCAATTAAAAGTGCCAGATGAAATCCTGCCATATTTTCTCCCTCAGCCTTTCCCCCAAGGCAGCATTAACTACACGCGCCCCCTGTTTTCCAGTAGATGTTCCTTGTCATGAACATGTTCCTAAAGGAAAATCTCTCTGATGAACATCCTTGATTAACATTTGCCTCCAGGACAGACTGGCAGCAAGAGGGAAGTGGGACACAGAAACAACACCAGAGGAAAACATCAGTAAAGGATCCAGGATACAACCTCAGCCTGGGACACTTCTGTCACCCATTGGGGACATCAGGGCCTTCCAGGGATCCATCAGCACCTCACCCAGCTGCCAGGGGCTGAGCACACTCTCATGTCTTTATGCAGAAAGGCAAAACTGTGCCTTTCTGAGCCCTGTGCCTTTCTGAGCCCTGTGAAATCCCAGAGCTCTGCTGTTTTCCAGCAGCACAGAGCACGAGCCTGGCCCGAGCTCCAAATAAACACAGAGCAGCTATTGGAAGTCATTGGTGTCCCAGGTTCTCGCTTGGAACAAAAGGAAGGAAGTGGAATATAAACAGTCAGAGGAACAGCAGTGCAGGGAAGGCTCAGAGTGGAAAACTGCCCTCTAAAAGCCATGCAGGAATGTGCTGAGGTAAACGTTCCCCCCAAAGGGAAGAGGAGACTTTGGTGGAACTTTGTTGCCCTTTCAGGGGGTCTTGAGCCTCCACAGCAATTTATTTACCTGAACATTTAACATTAGAGAGTCTTGGGGAGCCCTGCTGAGAAGATCTGTGTTTCTCACTGTCCCTCTGGAGATATTCCAGAACTGTCTGGACACAACCCTGTGCCAAGTGCTGCAGGAAGAACTGCCTGAGCAGGGAGCTTGGGCCACTGCAGCCCTTCCAGCCTCACCCATCCTGTGATTCCCTGCAGGTACCAACTCTGGGCTTTCCCTGGCTCACACCATCCCCCAGGAATGAGCAGCTCATACCCTTTGATGACACTCTGGGCACATTACAAAGCCCACCTGTTTGAGGGGCTTCACAGGAGCTGATTTCTCCCCTGCAATGGAGAAGAGCTGGAAAGGAGCTTGTGCAGGTGTTGGCTGCAGCCATCACCTCCCTCACTGCTGGAGCTGTCATCAGCAAAGCCTTGGCATGGCCCAAAGCCTTGGCAAGGAGGGCTCTTTCTTTCATTTTTTGTTCATCTCAGTGCACAACTCCCCTAAACCAGACAGTGTAGCAGCAATCCAAGTAAAACATAGCTTCAGGTGCTCCCATTCCATGGTTTGAGGTGGGGCTGGCAAGAGCTGCCCTCCCCACCTGCTTCCTCAGCCCAGCAGCACCCAGTGAGACAGAAAATGAGTCCTGAACACACCAAATCCCTTCCCACACCAGCATCAAAGCAGGGCAGGTCTCTGAAGCACAACAAGCAAATGGGAGAGAAAATCAACACCTCGGGGCATGGAGGTGGAAGAAAAGACTTCAGAAGGGAGAGCAGAACCAACTCTGCCAAGGATGAGTTCATTACTGCAGCTCTCCTGCCTCTGCTGGGGCAGAGACACAGACCTGAACGTGGAGTTTCAGATGAAACAAAGCTCCTTGAGGTATGAGACACCCCTGCTCAGGAAGGAGATAGGCAGAGAGAAGCCCTGTGGTGTTCAAGGAGCAGAGACTAATTTTTGGACTAAGGAAAGATGAAAATAGGACTGTTTTTACTCTCCTGGGTATGGTTAGCATCCCTTTGGAAGGAGAGCTAAGAACGAGTATCTACAGCTCTCAGAGCCACAAGCGCAGCCTGAGCAGTGACTGCTGCTGCAGCACAAGGAACTTTATCTCAGTGCCAGCTCTGAGTTTGCCTCAGGGCACACTGGGCACAGCTGCAGTCCTCGAGGGCTGTTTGGGCACTGACACACTCAGCAGAGCCCCCCAGCCCTCAGCAGGGCTCCCAGCCAGAGCTCCAAAGCAAACCAGCCCAAACTCCTGTCTGGGGGCTCCCAGGCCAGAAGGATCCTTTTCCCTGAGGACATCACCCCTGTGTGCCCAAGGTTCCCTCCAGCTCCTCCGGGGCACTGACCGACCACAGCCCAGTGCAAGCCATCAGCCTGTCCAGTGCCATTTTCAGAGCTGGAAAAAAGGCATTTCCTGCAGTTCCCAACCTAAGGATCCATTTATTACCTCTGATCCAGCATGCAAGACAAACAAAAACACTGAGTTATTGGCTGCAGGTTTGTTATACAGGGGTTGGCATCCTTACTCCACCTTTCTGGGGGAAGAAACCCAAACCTAAATCAAGCCTGTTTCAAGCTGCATTCTCCACTGCAGGTAGCAAACACTGACTCCTGGGAGCTCAGGACAGAACTGCCAGGGTACAGCCCAGTCCTGCAGGTCTCTTGCAGAAGCTCTTACTGCAGGAGCCTGGAAACTGCTGCTCCAGGGGTCCTGGATTCACAGATGCCTTTTTTTTTTTTCTTTAAGCTTAAATGACCACCAGGACAAAGTGTTTAACATGTTTTAAAATTATCTAAAGCTCTAAAGCCAGGATAT